ATATCCATCATAATAGTTTGTGGTGGTATGGACCAAACTTAAAGAGAGTTGTTACAGTTTCAAATTATTAGACATCAGTTATCCACTATCAACTACTAAATGAGTAAATCAGGTTTCAAACGTTTCCTTGAATGATGATTTGTTACCATTCTTTACCAAGTTTAGTAGTATTATTCAAAATGCAACGAATCATGTTATATATTGTTCTAAGATTTATTGACAAATGCAAAAGACTTTTGATAAACACATGTTTTATTACAGTTTCCGGAATAAAAAATTCCTTCCAAATTATATTAAAATGTATTCAGCAGCACCATTTCTCCAAGGGATGATTATAAAACTGCAAACAGTTCTCATCTTAAAATGTTACGTCCATTTTTGGATGATAAAGACCTTCTCAGTGTTCATTGAAGATTATAATATTCAGATGTTGCATCTGCAAAGAAATAATTTTGCCTAAAAACTGTCATGTTGTTAGACTTATCATTTGAAATGAGCCTTTAATTTTTATAACATCGTGTACTACTGAAATTAGTATCTAGTAGTCTTTCAGAACAATTTTATATTCTTTATTTAATTAGACTAGTTAAGTCGTTTATTCATAAGTGTGTTACATGTTCTAGATATAGAGCAGATTCAGCAAAACAACGGGTTCACTTCCTAAAGAACACAAATGCGGGTCTTTGAGAGAGTAGGTACTGCGGAGTTCTACCCTGAGTGGATAGAACCTGGGGGCGTAGTAATTTATTGAAACTACTTGACTTGATTATTATTTTATATTAGATTTCAGGCGAATACAAGTTTTTAATCTAACTACGAGAGGTTTGGTGCCTGAAGTTCATCTGATCTGGAACCTTCTATCAAAAGACAGACGATTCTTTATTTCAAATATTAAAATCATGACATTAACTTTTAAATATAACTGCCTGCTGTAGGCATTGCATGAACAAAGAGTTTACCCAAACAAAGAGGCTGTAACGTAACGGACGTTACATACCTCCGGCACCGCTAAAAAAAAATTGTTTTGTCATACTAGCTGACCGAACAATTTTTTTTTCCTACCTACTACATCGAGAGGGTTCGACAGTCCTATCTAAACATCCCTACCTACTTAAGGACATCAATACAACTGGGAGATGGCCTTTACTACAGACTAGCCCTCACAATAAGTTTGCAAAACTTGCAAAAAAAAAATTTTACGGGAAATGGACTCTAACTGTTTGCAAAGTTTTATTGCCAAGACTTTACGGGAGCAAAACCTTAACAAAATCCCTCGTACATCTCCCCCCTAACCTTAACTTTACTTAACATCGACATCAGTCGGCAAAAACAAAAAACAGAACTATCCCTAGCTATTCCTTAAATTACCCAAGCTATTTTAATTTTATCCCATCTATCATCAAAAATTTACTCTATCCCATTTATTAAACCATTAAATATCAAGAAAATCTATATTTTGAAACTTATTACTTAAATAGATGTACGAAACGAAATTCGAACTATAAAAATAATAATAATAAATTTATTTATTTGCCCCAACATTTTTACATAGTTTAAACTTAACAATAGTTTTCTTAATGCTTAATAGAAGCGACAATACTATTTAAAACTAAAAACACAATAAAATAGCACTTACAATACACTAGTACCTAAACTAGGCCGAGCCTGTAAAATAGGTACTAGATCCTTCCTTTTTCACTAAATTAATATTGAAAAGATTTCATCTCTAATATTTTTAATTTTGTGCTTGTAGATTCTGCAAGAATTTCTGGTGACATTTTGATTAAATTTAAACTATACTAAAGAAGAATATAAACTATAATTTATCTAACAATATGGAATAAATGTTCAACTTCTTCATATGATAGTGATTTCAGCCAATCTGTAATTATGATTTTGCATTTATAATAATTTAATGAGTAAATATTTACAATTTTATTTATCTTGTTATATAAGAAAGGTCCGAGAAAACATTGGAATTTATAGACAAACTTGGTTCTAAAAACACTTTCTAGGCAGACTCTGTACTTTCTACGCGTGGCCGCTATATGTGGTGCGTATACGAGGTTTTTGTGTTGTGCAAGGATGGAATAAAGCACAAATAATTGTCTTACTGTCAACACATCAGACTCAGCATACAGCTCACGCGTAGGATATCCACGCGGCCTAAACGCTATAACTTTAAGCAAAGCACGTTGAGCTCTTTCGACCGTGATCATGTGGGTTTTGTTTGCTCCACCCCATGCTACAAGGCAATACGACAATATGGACTGTGCTAAGGCAAAATAAATAGTCTGGATAAGTTTTTTATCTGCTATATGACGAAGTGATTTAAAAATATACATAAGTTTTCGGGTTCTCTCTGAGATCATGTCGATTTGAGATTTCCATGTCAGAGTTTGATCAACAAGGACACCAAGATATTTTATACAAGCAATTCGTTCCAGAACAGCACACTGACATATAGACGCACTGTTTAAGTCACATTCATGAGCTTTTATTGTGAATTCAGTATTAGGAATTTCTCTCTTTGATTTTCCAAAAGTTATTATTTTGGTCTTTGTCGTGTTCAAAGTAAGTATATTAGTTTGCAGCCATTTCATAGTAATCCGAAGACCCCGCTCAGCCACAGTTCTGGCATCCTCCCAAGTTTTGCCATGAAATATTAATGCTGTATCATCAGCGAAAGTAAAAATATTACAATTTTTCAACTGTAAGTTACAAAAATCGTTGATGTAAATAAGGAAGAGGCTAGGACCAATGACACTGCCTTGAGGCACACCATAAGTGACAGACGAGTCTCCAGAAATATGCTCTCCAATCTGCACTCTTTGAGTCCTTAGAGATAAATAGCTAGTGAAAAGCTCATGAGCCAAACCACGAATGCCCATCCTTTCCATTTTTGACAATAGTAGTGGTACAGAGACTGTGTCGAAAGCCTTTGCGAGGTCTAAGAATACTCCTACGCATCTGTTTTTACTATCCAAATGTTGAGCCACGTGATTTGAGAGTCCGATCACTGCATCAGCGGTTGACTTGCCTGCTCTAAATCCAAATTGGTTGTTGGATATTAGGTTATGTTTATTTAGAAAGGATAATAATCTTTTATTCATGATCTTCTCTAATATCTTAGACAGAGCCGACAAGACTGATATTGGACGGTAATTGTAATCCCTATTACCATTTTTATGTACTGGGTGAATGATCGATATTTTGAACACTCGTGGAAACACCCCCGTCCGCAAACACAGGTTGACAATATGTGTGATTGGAGGCACGACGTATTCCAAAGCAAGCTTTAGGAGTTTATTGGATATGCCATCAAATCCAATCGCACAATCGTCCTTCATATTACGAATGAGGGCTGTAATTTCATCATAGGTTGCCTCAACCAGAGCCATGGAATTGGAAATTGTAGGTACCTTAGAGTATGTGAAATTAGTGTCTTTGAGCTCACATGCATTAATTTTGTTGGCCAGATTTTTACCTATGTCTGCAAAGAAATCGCTTACATAATCCACTGAATTTTGAGGAGTATCTGCAATTCTCATTAAATTACCAGAAACTGATTTATCTTTATTTAGATACACGATATTTTTAATAGCTGATTTTCTTTCTTTCTTTTAAAATTTTCTTCGGGTTTTTAGAATGCTTTCTGAGTTCATCTTGCTCATATATTTTTTTGAGACGTTTCAATAGGTCGTTACAGTGGTTCCTATATCTTTTATAAGTGATTTTTAAGATTTCATTTTTGGGATCTGCTTTGCATTTAATGTGCATTCTATCGCGATTTTGTATGCAGCGTATTAACCCTGGTGTGATCCAGGGCTTTAGACAAAGTTTTTTTCTAGGAACAACAACAGTGATAGTTCTATTGTTAACATAATTTGAGAGTGTATTCACAAACCTCTCAGCTGCCCAGTTAGCATCTTGAGAGCAAAAGATGTCATTAAAATTAGTTTTTTTGATATCACTTACAAGGGCCTCATAGTTGACTCTCTTCGTAATTACATTTGCATTCTGTTTTACCAATGGCTTTGCATCAATACAAGTCAAAACGGCAGAATGGTCTGTCAGGGGGGCACTCAAAACAATAGTAATAACTGGACATTTTGTCTTTATCATAGCGTGATCTATGCAATTATTGCCTCTAGTAGGAAAGGTATGACCTTTCAAGATACCATGAGATGCAAGCAAATTTAGGTACTCAGATGAATTAGGATCTTCATTTTCATATTTAACGTCAATATTAATGTCCCCCATAATTATTATATTACTATATGATCTGTACTTAATTAGTAGTTTGTCTAAAGATTCAATGAACTCAGATATATTTCTTTTTGATGGGGATCTGTAAATAGCTATAATTATCGTATCTGATTTTACGCGCACCACAAGACAGCTAGCATCACTGAAGTCTGGTTCTTCAACAACAAGGTTAAGGTCAGGTTTGATATACAACACGATACCATCGTTCTGATTCTTGTTATTTACAGAAAAGAAAGTGTCATAGTTAGAAAGCTTAGGATATTGAGAAATTTTTGAATTCCATGTCTCAGTTAAAATGTAAATGTCGCAATCAATTTTTAATCTAGCCAGTAAAACTTTAAATTCGTTTATATTTTTATTTATACTCCTTATGTTTTGCGTAAGTACTTTAAGAGAACCTCCAGCTCCATGTGAAGTGATCAATGTATTACAAAACTCTGGATCAGACATAAAAGATTTGCCGATAGATATATCGTCAATTTCATTTGCAGTTGTAATTAGGTTGCTATTATCGAATTTTTCATATTGACATCTCTAGAGCACTGCGTTTTAAAAACCATCACAACAAACACTATATAATAAAAAACTGTAAAAAATAACCAACACCCAGCTAGACCACTCCAGATGCAGCAAAACTCAAACCGTACATGACAAATAAAGAAAAACAAATACAAGAAAGCTACCTGATAACAAATTCTTAAATTAATCGAAAACCTGAAGTAAAGCAGTAGTCAAATCTTCCTCCTGAGCTTCGCCAAGTCTTCATCGCAGTCTATACGAGTAAACGGTAGGTTCTCCGCTTTCCGAAGGTACACGTACCCTTTTGAAGTCCAGCAATAGGTAAACTCGTTATCACGTGCGAATTCGCGGGCCAGGTAAAATAGTCTTTGTGTCTTCATAGTAAGAGATTCGGAGACGAAGACAGGCCTTTGAGTCCCTGGTATTTTCAGATTAATTGTATTCAGCTTGGATTCTTTAGGCGCTTCCTTATTATATACCTTAACTGCCTGTAGAATTTTTTCCTTAGATATAACGCTATTTAGCTCGACAATAATAGGTTTGGCAGACTCCTTCTTTGACGACACCCGATATATGTCCCTGATATCGTAATCTTGTAGTTCTGTGTTAACAGATTGCGCTAAGTTTTTTACGATGTCTAACAATTCCTGCTTCGACTCGTGGTTGTCCTCTTTTTGACTGACTGATGGAACGTTTCGTATTTCTAAGCCAGTCGCTTTTATTTTTCTTTCGAAAAAGTCCACTTTATCTTCTAGTTGCTTAATATACTTTTTATCGTTTAATCTTTCCTGCTCCATAACTTGTAGACTTTCTAATATTTTATCATATTTATCAGACATAAATTGGACACTTTTCTGCATTTCCTCATACTGTTGCTTTACATCACTAAACCTTTGTTCTACAGTCTTTGATAAAGAAGCGAACGAGGCCCTCAACTCTGTCTTAAAATCGTTAAACTCGCTACAATCAACAATCTCCTTCTTGCGTTTTGCGCGCATCGCAAAATTACTTTTCCCACTGTTTTCGGAAGCGGTGTCAGAATCATTACCTTGTATCGTTAGTACGTTAGCTGGGACGGCCACAGGGGGCGGAGATCGTCGCATCATTACCCCGCAAAAAAGATATTCAATTGATCACAACACAAAGTATGAAAATCTGTGATGTCTTCAGTCCAGGTTAATCCCGCCGTTGAAACACAACTCAATAGCAATGCAAAATTTTGCCGCGGCGAAGCAACGCTTCGTAGCCCAGTGGATAACGAACCAAGGAAACACTCACTAATCGCAGGTTCAAATCACGCAGTGATCTCCAAAAAGTCAGCAGCACTTTTTCAATTTATTTAAATTTATTATTTATTAACAACTTTACTACAGCACAAAGACACGTCCACTCGCAATGATGTCCCGAGGGGAAAGGGAACTATTACCTAAGATTCGTAAATACTAACTGGATTTGAGAAACTAAAAGAATTAATAACTAACGTACATCTTCAATAAAGATACAGACATGGTCCACCACTTTATTGTCTTGTACTTTATTAGACACCCATGATGCGCAAACGTAATAGAAATTTTGGGTAAGGACATCCAGCATCAAACAAGATTAAACCCAATTCCCATGGAATACTAAGGGTTCCCCCTACCCTAAGTCAATCTACTACAAGTGACGATACGCGACGCGACCAAATTGAAACGAAAACGACGCGAATTCGTAGAGGGTGTCTTCATTATCTTCAAGATGGACCATCGTCAGTATCGCTGACGTCTGCATGAGCGCCAGCCTCCTCTCTCTCGGGAAGTCCGCATCATGTAGTAGTACATAGAACAAACAAGAAAATATTAGTAAAATTCTTTACACCATTTTTCTTCAGTCGGGTAAGTTAATATTCAAGAAAACATTTATGATAAATCTTTGCACCATCTTTTCCATAGTTGGGTAAATTTTCAAAGTATAACATTATTATTCATTTATTTATTTTTTCAATCTTACAGGGAATCGAACCCGTTTCCTTTTTTATAATAAGGGGATTTTCTTTATGGACCTATATTATCCTATTATACATTATTAACTATATATATTCTATCCTAATGCTGAATTAATCCTATTAGTTCATAAAATTGACTTTTTACAACGCATTACATGACACTATAACAATAAATGAATCTCACTATTCTACATTACCTATATACATTACTCTATATTATCGTAGCCTAAATGGTTTTATTCTATTTGCATGTACAATCCTTATTCTTGAATTCCTCAATCTTTTGATAACATAATTATTATTACCAAGCGGTCGTATTAACTGATCTATATTTGTACGGACGACCTAATTTCTTACTAAGACCTGACCTTCTTTCGGGACAATATAGTAATATTAATTGCCTAGTAAGTAGTTGATAAGTAATTAACCTAGCTTTTCGATCATATAATATTTTCTGAGTGAGACGTGCTTTTATGAGATTTTCTTTTACCTTTCTTATTCGATTTTCATTCTCAAGCCTCCTACTTCTCCTATCGGATACGTTCCATTCTAACCTATTATCAGATAACATTACCGGCTCTCTTGCAAAGATTATTGAATATGGTGAAAACTTGGTTGAGGACTGTTTAGAACAATTATAAGCATGAGTTACTAAAGGAACATGTACACACCAATCAGTTTGCGTAGCATATACATATTTTGATAGCATCTGTGAAAGAGTCTGATTAAACCTTTCTACTAATCCTACTGTTTGTGGATGCATAGTGGTTGCAAATTTATGGGTTGTACCAAAACGACTTATCGTCTCTCTTACTAATCTTGAAGTGAAAATGGATCCTCTATCTGATATAATCGTATGCACCGATCCGAATTTGCAGAATACTTCGTGGATAAGGAAGTTACGTATCGCCCGTGCCGTGGCCCTTCGAACGGCCTTACATATTGTATACTTTGATAAAGCCTCCACACAAGTAATGATATACTTTTTACCAGATATAGATCGATTTAGCGGTCCTATTATATCTAACTCTATTATTTAAAATAAATTATTGACTGTTATTGGCTGTAAGGGTGCCACCACATGACTTTTCTTTCTCTCCTGACACTTAACACACGTTTTTACATAACGTTCTATCTCTAATTCCGCATTCAGCATGAAATATCGTGAACGAAATTTACTTAAAGTTTTCATTAAACCTAAATGTCCACCAGTATACGGATCATCATGAATTTTAGACATTACTTCCGTAAATAAAGTTCTAGGTAATACTATAAGTTCTTTATTTAATCCTCGCCTTTATGTCTTCCTGTAACGTCCGTTACGTTTCAGCCTCCTTGTTTAGGTAAACTCTTTGTTCATGCAATGCCTACGGCTGGCAGTTATATTAAAAAGTTAATGTCATGATTTTAATATTTGAAATAAGGAATCATCTGTCTTTTGATAGAAGGTTCCAGAGCAGATGGACTTCAGGCACCAAACCTCTCGTAGTTAGATTAAAAACTTGTATTCGCCTGAAATCTAATATAAAATAATAATCAAGTCGTTGTTTCAATAAATTACTACGCCCCCAGGTTCTATTCATCAGGGTAGAACTCCGCATGGTGGAGGCGCCGGGTAGATTCAAGTACCGCGAGTAAAAAAAAATTAAATCAAGAAAGAAGAAGTTTTTATAAAGATGGAGACCAGGACCACATTCGACGGAAAAGGTGATGTAACCGATTTCTTTCGATAATTTAACATTATCGCCATCATTAATAATTTTAACGAGGATACAAAAAGAATTGTGTTGTCGGCATATTTAAGTGGCCCTGCATTGTTATTTTATAAAAAAATTAATGAGTCTTGCGAGAATTTTCAGATTTTAGGGAAGAAAATACCTGAGGAATTTCCATCATCGATAAATGCGTTGGAAAATTTTTTCTCACGAAGACAAGGCTTGTCAGAAGAGCCATTGGCCTATTTTTATGTATTAGATGAGCTGGCCACAAAAGCGGGAGCTGTCATAGATGACAGATGTTTTATTAGACAGTTCCTGAAAAATGCGAATTTAAATACAAAAAATCTTTTCGCATTTCAATTATACAATAAAGTGCATTTAAAAGCAGTTTTACGACAAGTGCAGGACATTTTCGGGGACGAAAATGACGAAGTTAATTGGAATCTGCCGAACCAATCATCTTTTACTCACTTTGAAGCGTCGAAAATTTCATGCATAACGAGGAATCAAGAAGAACCGCAGAAGGAAATCAACCTTATTTTCTCCCAAAGTGTCCCTTCTCATCCCATTGTCCCTCCCGAACACATGATTCCCCGCACTTTTTGTTCCAGCAACATGAACAAAAAGAAGAAAAAACCAAAGAAGAAGCATCCAAAGAAAAATAAAAAAATTCTGTGTGTCAGCTCCGACGCACGACTGGAGTTTACTCCTTAAGTTCGATAGTCTAACCAGACGCAAAAAGAGTTTATTTAACTTAAAAAAGATTGATACTGTATGAAAGGGTAAATTAACAAATTAATGAAAATAATATACATATATAAATATATATTTATTCATTTCATATACATTTATAATAACTAATCGACGAATTATTTTACATTAAACTTTTAACAATAGTCAATTTCAGATGTGCATAAATATATTATTTTAAGTTATTGTACATCTTAGTGTTTTTATTTGTTTTGTTACCTTAAGTCATGGTGGGCGATAACAGAGTCATGTTGTTAAGTTAAATATTTGTAGGGACAAATCTCAGTTTGTCCTTGGTGGGTGATTATGTATACGCCATTTGTGCATTTAAAATTTTAGTTCATATGTATCAAAATAGATGGCGCTGTAGTTCGTTGCATCACGCTTGTAAATATGTTTGGAGCTACATATAGGCAAAACGTCACCTAACTAATAAAGAAATCTATGGTCTAACAAAATACACTGTGACTGTAGTTTCAATTTAATTCTTTTGCACCTAAGCTCTCGGATTTAAGAGTCATTTTGGCTCGAACAGGATGCGTACCAAAAACGTAACGAGGTCATTCATCAATAGATTTTACTCCTCACATTTTTCTCACACCGGGCCCCTTAGATATGCAAATCGATTCTTAAGGAGTAAACTCCAAAAAATATGAAGAAAATTTTATGACGATGGTTGATGGAGAGGTTTTTCATTCACAGTCGTCAGAAAAAAGCAATCAGCATACAAGTGAGTCCAAACCATTAATTAATATAACGTGTCGTGATAAGGAGTTTGTTGGGCTCATTGATAGTGGTGCTGCAGTGTCTGTGGTGTAGAAGGACACAGTAAATCGAATTCATCAACAAATTGATGAAAGCGATACGAAGTTGAAATCTGTCGATGGTAAAGAATTGTCTGTTATAGGGAAAGTTAACCTTAAATTATTGATAGACAATGCGTTATTCATTTACGATTTTCTTGTGGTAGAGAATATTAGGCATAACATCATCTTAGGACAGGATTTCTTACTACGAAATAATGCAATAATAGACTTTTATAACGAACAATTAATAATCAAGCATAGTAAGTGCAAGTTTAAAGGTTATATATTGATATACAAATGAAAAATGAAAATAATAGTGATAATTCGGTGTATGATGAAAATTTATATTATGCCGAATAGGTTGATAGTACTACAATATTAATGTGTTACTAATGAGATTTTATTTCAGTTTATTGTTTATATGAATATTTTAAAGCAATGGTGGTATGTAAATAAGGTTCACTACAATAGTCATTTTAGAATTTTATTTCAAAAGCATATTAAATATAACTTTGTCACTATACTAGAATTTTTTTTTCAATATACATATTGTAAGGAACTTTTACACATTTTGTTTATGATAGATTAATAGTTAGTTTCATTAAAGTATTTTCATTTCTTTTAATTGTTAACTTTAGTGTAATTTTTTGTGTAGGCGGATTACTAATATCATAATAATTATTAGAATGATAGGTGACAGGTTAGATTCTCTGTTCAACTTAGAATTATTCAATTGATTTTGACTATGATCATTGATCAATCATTAGGATTAATTCAGTAGTAGGATAGAATATATATATATAATAATGTATAATAGGATAATATAGGTCCATAAAGAAAATCCCCTT